GCTTTACTGCGAAGGATCGTGCACATATACGTTTCATAACCGCAGTTCATATATATGTATTTCATATGTTTGTTGTTTGATTTATCATCTACGGGTTTATGTCGAATTAATTTGATGGCCTGCTCCCAGTTGGCTTGTTAGCTCAATTGGTAGAGCGCTGCACTAGTATCGCAGAGGTCAGTGGTTCGAATTCCGTACAGGCCTGAATTTTTTTCAGGTCTGATTTTCACTATTGCTTAAATAGTGCTTTACTGCGAAGGATCGTGCACATATACGTTTCATAACCGCAGTTCATATATATGTATTTCATATGTTTGTTGTTTGATTTATCATCTACGGGTTTATGTCGAATTAATTTGATGGCCTGCTCCCAGTTGGCTTGTTAGCTCAATTGGTAGAGCGCTGCACTAGTATCGCAGAGGTCAGTGGTTCGAATTCCGTACAGGCCTGAATTTTTTTCAGGTCTGATTTTCACTATTGTTTAAATAGCGCTTTACTGCGAAGGATCGTGCACATATACGTTTCATAACCGCAGTTCATATATATGTATTTTCATATGTTTGTTGTTTAATGGATATCTCATTAGCTTCTTTTGTTTGTCTAGCAGCATTTGTTCCTTTCACCATTGTTACCTGTCTCTCTAGAGATTGGTTGCAAACCACCTATAGAAGCCGCAATAGAAAGGAGATAAAAAAATATCTAATAGCGCTCAACTTAAATTTTAAGTCGTAGTTCTTCCTTTTCTCTGCCTTGACTTTCAAAATCGTGATTTTTGCGTGAGATTTCTGGTTTCCTCGGGCTTGATTTTTCATATTTAAAGGTGTTTTCTACTCTAATTGTTGCATTCCGATTGCTATTTACGATAGACGTCACGATAGACACTATCAGGACCACTTCACACATAGATGCCACCCTTGAATAGAAGCCGCATTACTTTCCTTTTGAAAAAAAAAAAATAAAGAGAAGCCGCGGCTTCTATTCAAGAAGAGACGGTATGTATT